CAGCGATGAGGTGCCTGTATCTTTTCACAATTCTTTGACTTCTCAAGGAATACAATACAGAACAGATTCAGATTGAATCATGAGTCTTCTCGAAATCGACGAACCCTAGGCAAAGTGAAAACTGATGTTCACTGCTTGTCTCAATCACCTGCTGTACCACCCTGCTATCAAGATGGATATCTAGAACTGCGTCTTCCTTTTAGTACGAGACGTTCGTCTTTGCCAAAGTCAGTACTAGACTAGAACAGAAAATAGAGAACAATTCTGAATAGCAAAGGCGAAAGTCCATCTTGTTGCCGAACAACACACAGCTAGTATGAACTGCTCAGATAACACTTCTTCGACTTGAACACATCTGGTGGACAGTAGACCTGCATCCTGGATACATCTCTTCCAAAATGGAATCGAAGATCAATTATCCCACAACATTTCAAGATTTTCCACATCGTTGGACGATGTATTCAAGCAGGTGTAGCCTTAATGTTTAGGCAAGTGGTAAATAAAGGCAAACGGAATCAGCCGTACTGTAAAACGATCCTAGCCTTTGTTTAAAGAGCGAAAGTTTCATCAGAAGAAGAATACCCCATTCGGAAGTGTTTTGAATTTGTGTGGAGTCTTTTATCAAATGCCTGTCTCCGGCTTTCTGAAAAAGTCCAGGAGAACAGTCAGTTTCTCAGAGGCACAATTCAGCCGAGGATGTCGATTCGTGGGCTAGACCGAAGCAAAACTCGCGAGCTAAACGTTGTTGAATCAGAAGCATCAATAAAAATGGACAGAGCACCATATAAGTCATTTGCAATACCAAATTGAATAAATAACGTGGCATGAAAACATGGCACAAAAGTGTACGCGTCTCGTCGACCTTTGAGCAATGAGTAATGTTGTTGCTCTGTGTGAGGCGCGAGACCGAGAAGTATTGTTCTAGGTGACTAAAAGGAATAACTAAGGTGAGTGGGAGTGAGTGGTTCAGACAGTTAAGCCTCAGGCGAGACTCGATAACCGCTTCCGGTGTTTTGCTGTTCATGCGTGAAAAACGAGGGACGTGGCTTTCGGTGTTTATTGAGACACAGTCGAACGCATTACCAGACTCGGCATCGCTGGCAGTCGTTTTTTAGCGACGTCTGACTTCGATTCAAGTCTCAAGCACGACGAACACAGTTCGGCATAAACGTCTGCAAAAAATGACCTACCAAGTTTTCGCCAGTCAATCAATCAGCGCTGGTTCATCCGCTCACATGGCAGTTGTGCGCTCAAACGCTGTCAAGAAAGATTGCCCGGCGAAAATGCAATACCGTTTGTACCCGTCGGCGGTGAGCAATATTTGATCTCGAATAGTCAGCTTCGAGCCGCATTGATTTCTGAGGCAGCATTTGAGGGCGTTGCGAGTGAACAGTCGCCTAGCCACGTTGCGACGTGCTCTGCCTTCCTCTTGCTTTCCCCTTGCCTTGACTTAAGTCTTCTCGCAGTTGCAGCAAGCGTCGCGACGTGCGTTGCATTCTCCCGTCCTTCTTCCGTATTTATTTTCGACCATTCAATACTCTTGGATGTTAACTTTGTTAATCAGCATAAATCGTTTAATTAGAGGCAAAACAGTCGCAGAAATCTTCTGCGATAAACGGAAGTTGAAACTGCTTTGATCGCCATCACTGAAGTAAGCACATTCATACGGAGCACTTGCAGTTCCTCAGCTTTGGTCGTTAATACGTCGTTAATACCTTGGTACCGGACCATACGAGAAGCGATTTGCTCCTGCGAAAATACCTGTTCAACTAAACAGTAAGCACTCTGATGACACCTGCGAGACAGCAGCTGACCGAGATCAACAATTTAATAGCAAGAACCGACTTTTCAAACATCTGAAAGCTCGAAGGGTCATTAAAGATTTTTCAATTTGTGCGGTGTTTTTCAACGTAATAAATATTCTCGAAACCGCTTCAAGGAAAATTACGCCATGTGATTTACGAAATAGAGGATAACAGCAACATATCACTCGTTAACAACAAAGGTTATTTAGAGATATACTTCGTGGCATTTCGTTCACCCTTCACGACTCAGATATTTTCTTAAAAGGCATGCGCTATAGTCTACAAACTGTATCTTGATATTCTTGGGCAGAAGAAATACTCTAGGCAGACGTTTCATTTGCTAAGCGATACTGAATACCTGCCCCGCGCTGTAGAGATTACGCTGATGGAGAATATTTGAACGATTTCTTCGAAAAGTTGGAAAATCTTCAAAAAACTTATACGCTGACTTCATCATACTTCCTGTGTTTCACCAATTAAGCAACGAATTATCTTGTTTTGAAAAAATATAAATGAATTTTGCAGATTATCATCAAACATTTTATACAGCGATTTTATCAATGGTGCCATTTTGAAGCAGCCTCGCATAAACAACAGAACGGTGGTTAAGCTTCGGTTTCATGTGGTTTAGCGGAAAACATCATTCAGGGAAAGAAGGCCGTTGCTCTTTATTTACCGGCGTGAGATGATTACTCATGTACGATATCGTGGAACAGCCGAAGCTAGAAGAAATTAAATCGACGACTGACAGTCGGGAAATGAAAAATTTTAGCTCCCGAAGCAGAAGACGGAATTGTCAACAAGAACAGACTAGAGACTCTAAAAAGAGTAGAAACATTTATAGAAAACTGCATAAATATACAGATAGCAAACTCCCGTGACGATAAGCAACCTGAAAATACGCATGAAATTGATGAATCATCAGATATTTTGCCAGAAAAGGTGCGACATGCAATTTAACAGGCGAAGCGGGGAAGAGCCTCTTACGAAGATGAAATTACCGTGGAACAGGTGGAATTAGAAGGTGAAGCAAACTGACCAAGATATCAGCGCACTTGTTTTCGCGCTGTTTGAAGAAACTGAAAATCTCAGACGATTGGACTACCGCATCGGTGATTCAACTCCACAGAAAGGGAAACAGAGAAGATTTGAAGAACAGTGGACAAATCAGTGTTGCCAATTATCTACAAGATCTTCACGATGGTACTAACGAACGGACTTCATGAAAGACCGTTCGCTTCAAAAATTCAGAAGTAGATTTGTATGATGGATCATCTCCAGGTGGAGCAACAAGTCGTTCAGAAAAGCAACGGATATCAACTTCCCTTGCCTGGGGTTCGTTCATTTCAAGAAAGCTTTCCACTCAGTGTGCTTCCGCTCTGTCATGGATTCCTAGAAAAGCCAGAGAATCGATAAAGGCTACATAAACCTGGTGGCCATAATTTAGAAGAATGTAACTGATGGTGTGAGACGTCACGAAAGGAGAAACGAGTTCGAAATCGAAAAGGGCGTTCAACAGGGAGACTCAGTACCACCGAAGTTATTCACTGTAGCCATAGAAGAGGTTTCCAAGACTAATCGATCATGGACTGAGCGTAAATAGACATTACTACGCCACCTGCAGCTTGCGGTCAATATTCTGACCCTGTTAAGGTCATCAGAGTAACTCTAAAGAAGAATCCAAGAGCTGAACGACGCCCGCGGCAAAGTATGTCTGATACTGAACATGATCGCAAACGAGGTAGTCTAGGTAATGTTAAGCAAATGTCTGGCTACGCGGCCTAGACAAAGAACATAGAATTGAGTAGGAACAAAATATTTTCATCTACAACATCCTGTCTCTGCAACTGAGAATCGACTATAGAAAATCAACAAAAGAATAAAAATTGCATCCAGCACTTTTGGAAGACTGAAAATGTTCCAATGCGGCAAGATGCCGACAGAAAATTTTCGATCGCTATGTGCTCTCAGTGCTAACCTATGGCGCGAAACGTCGGCCATAAGCCTGGCAACTATTCATAAATTGTAGACAATGCAACGCAGCGTGGAAAAAGATGTGGGAATAATAAGAAAAGATGGCCACAACAAAAGTGGCAATGAACAGGGCACATTGCAAGAAGAACCGACCGTCATTAGACCAAAAAGACGTTACACTGACTTCCAACAACCAGTTACGGACCCGTACGACGAGCTGAAGAAGTATGCTGGAACAGGAAGTCGACGAAAATAACAGAAAACGGAAGTCTATGGCGAAGTCTTGGAGATGCCTTCATCCAGTAGTGGATCCAGAAAGGCTCATGATGATGTCGCCGGTCGTCGACCAGTCATCGTTGAGCGAGTGCACCTTTCGAAAGCGATGTGACCACTGTGACCGGGGTCAGACATTTACTCCATGCATCGGACGCGGGATCCCAGCGATCAAATTCCGTTAAGAAAGACCGTGAATCATACATTATACAAGCGATGGAGAATTTGTAAAATTCAAAGTTTGCCAAACTTCCAGGGATTAAGGATTTCGATTGAGGACTAAATAAATTATCATTGTTTTGCATAAGCATTTTAATTATTAACATTGTTAAAGTATGTTAATGTACTCTCGAGAGTTTACACAACGTGTTCTCTGCGTGAGTGCGAAGCATGTCAAGAACTTAAAGCATTCGCGAGTGACGACAGACAGGAAGTGGAAACAGGCGCATATACCGGTCAGGTCGCAGTAATACGAGAGCCAAACAGGTCTGCGCTGATGGATAAAGAGCTGAACAGTGATGTGAACCTGTCAATCTTCATGTCAGTCTACCCCTACCTTAGCCAATCTTCATGAGTGTTGAATGGTTTATTGACCAAAAAATTCGATGCAAATAGAAGCGGCAGAGATCACGTTCTTTCGATGAAATGTTGTGTGACAAATCTCGACAAGCTTACGAACACTGCAGTGCGAAATATCCTCTCCAGGTCGAGAGATTGCAATTAGATTACTTCGGCACGTAATCAGGATGTCAGAAGAGAAACTTCTCAGGTGGACTTTCTTCTTAAAATCATGTGACAGGAGGTTAGGAGGCAGACTGAAGGCAAGGTGGCTCGAGTACATCGGCTAGCATTGTGCCACCTCGAATTTAGCCCACGCAGCTTGTCTGAATGACAGAAACCGAAATCAGTAGAAAAACCAAACAAACCTGCTGTTCCATCACGCCAAAAGACACGCGGGTTGTGAAAATGATTGAATGCTTTCATCACTTCAGGAATCAACTAGAATAAATAGAAGGGAAATCAACCTCAAGAAAATGGAAACGCTGAAAGTTGATATATTTAAGCAAATAATGTTACAGATTGTTCTCTATACTTCAACCTGACCGTCACTGCCTCAGAGAATGGCATTTGACAAATGTATGGGAATTCATAGCAAAGCGAAGTGTATACTTCTTAGAAGCAGTGATGGCCACGACGGCCTGCCATGTGCCCTGAGGCTGTCGGCTAATGAACCCGTGGTAATCGAAGCTGACAGCACTTTGGTTCTACTCCTATAAATTTGTCAGAGCGAAGGATATAAACTGGTTATAAACCTGGACAGACAGACTGGAGATCATCGTATGCAATATTCTTCAAAGAAGGCACAGTAATATATTTCATCATACCATCTGCTCTTTGGATAAAGGATGACGACTCAGAGACAAAATGAACAGAATGTTCGGTCACTCTGTGATGAATGATATCGTAAAATCGAAAGACCATAACCGCTTTTGCGCCGCTCAGATGGCCTAGAATTGGGAAATCTAGTGCCCTAATTCTGCTTAAAGTGTAATTTCGGGTAGTCACTTTTTAAACGGAGAATCATAACCAGAAAAACATGGTCGGCATTAGGATTACTTCCCCAAAGAACTCTGACCACTAGCGAGCAATGACGGTGCTAAGCTATTGCTTAATCGGGGGGGGGCTCGCTTCGGTAAGCTGTTAAGTGTCTGTGGTCAGTTTCTGGGCCGCAGTCAGGAAGATAACGGCGGAACTTCGCTGCGGATGTTTGCAACCGCATTGATGGCACTGTAAATCTCTGTTGGCACCTTTGCCACGTGACCAAAAGGAATAGTGCTGCAACGGTCCACTGTTCAGTGATCGGTGACAGTTACGTTTTGGACGAAATCACACCTCATAATGTTGAACAGTCGCCCTTGATTCCTCATGTGGAAGGCCTGACATTATTCGGGTCCACCTTCTGCAACGGGCATACGTGCTCCTCATGGCAACGCCGACAAAATGCGGGTTTTGTAGACAGCAATATGGCGCTGGGTTACCGAGGCATAACATTCACTGCCGAAGCTGCACGGCAGGAAAGAAACCCCCTAGGTCTTGACTAGTTTTGCGAGTGTGCGAAGTAGCAGAATACCCCCAAATATTTATGCATGCAAGCGAAAACTGGAAACGGAAGTGCCACTTCCAAGGTTCTGTGTTTTCACAGTCTACCAAGAAATCTCCTGACCCAGGTCATTCGATGCGTTGCTAAAAGCTAAGAGAATGGATGGAGAGAAATCCGAAGAATGAGCAAAGAGCTGTCATCTGCATAATCCGAACCCGTTGAGGCAGAGGCGCAAACAACGATATTCCAGCGCTGCAGCATGTGATAGAGGATTC